ACCCTGATCCCTCACCATCTGCCCCTGGATCCTGATCCCTCACCATCTTCCCCTGGATCCTGATCCCTCCCCATCTGCCCCTGGACCCTGATCCTTCACCGTCTGCCCCTGAACCCTGATCCTTCACCATCTGCCGCCTGGACCCCGTTCCCTCACCATCTGCCCCTGGACCCTGATCCCTCACCATCTGCCGCCTGGACCCAGGTTCCCTCACCATCTGTCCCTGGACCCTGATCCCTCACCATCTGCCCCCTGAACCCTGATCCCTCACCGTCTGCCCCCTGAACCCTGATCCCTCACCATCTTCCCCTGGATCCTGATCCCTCACCATCTGCACCCTGAACCCTGATCCCTCACCATCTGCCCCCTGAACCCTGATCCCTCACCGTCTGCCTCTGGACCCTGATCCTTCACCGTCTGCCTCTGGACGCTGATCCCTCACCATCTGCCCCTGGACCCTGATCCTTCACCGTCTGCCTCTGGACCCTGTTCCCTCTAACTCCTCTTCCTCCTTCTGTAGGGGTCCCCCAAGGCTCAAACTAGGGAGGGATAAATCTCACCCGTGTGGGAGGGGCAGAGACACAAACTACTGGAGGAAATCTCGCCCGTGTGGGAGGGGCAGAGACACAAACTGCTGGAGGAAATCTCACCCTTGTGGGAGGGGCAGAGACACAAACTACTGGAGGAAATCTCACCATCGTGGCCGTTAGGGGTTCCCCTTAAAATTCCTTCCATACCTAACGGGCCTGGTATGACTTTGTAGGGGAACGCCACACTGTTGGGTTTTTTTTACATGGGGGGCCCACCTAACATTCGTAGCAGACCTAAAGGGTTTGGTATGAATTGGAAAGGGGACCCGGCGCTGTTTCTTTTTTCTATTCTTTGACAACATTGACAACTTTGACAGCATATGCGTTAGGCTCGGATGTTTACTTCGGCTGCTGTACGGGCTATCGTGAATATTGTGAATAGCGCATACAGCTGCCCTTGGGTTTGGTTGAACCCTGAACCCTAAGTTCCACTAAATCCTTTGGCTTTTTATTGAATAACACCATTAACAAAAGGAAAAGCGTTTGCCATTTTTAAATCCGGGACATGCAATACCAAATATGACCACAAGGTGGCTCCCACGTCACAAGGAACTCCAGGCATAAACTGCTGCATCAGTGAACAGTTCTGGGTAGAAATTGCTAGAACTTTAATAACACAATATTATGGACAGACTGACAGACTGACTGGAGCTTAGTACTAAAAAATGGGGGCTGATAGAGACCAAATCCACCATAACAGACATGAGAGGATTTGGTTGTTGCTGAGGTTGAATAACCTGTTAGGTATCTCTTGCAGGCATTTTGTGTCTCTGCCTCTCCCACAATTATGAGATTCCCCTCCAGTAGTTTGTGTCTCTGCCCCTCCCACAATGGTGAGATTTCCCCCCAGTAGTTTGTGTCTCTGCCCCTCCCACAACGGTGTGGTTTGATAATATCTGGTCGCCAATGATATGAATGACACATCAGTTATGGATGGAGCTCTCCTTTAAATGGACAACCAACCCATCACTTGTAGTTCCTCCATCTCTCTGGGGCCCTTATAGTCACGTTTTTGGACTCTACTTCCTCCCTGTGCCAT